CTCAGTCCCAGGAAAACGTGGAAGGTTGGTCACCCTGCTGCCCAGGAACCTTGGGAGACCAGCCATCCTCCTGGGCCCCTGCCTGCCTCCCCATCTGTGGCCTCTGGACAACCTCTGAGGGCCTGCAGAACGCAGCTGCATTCCTGCAAGGGCTGTGGACTTGGCTGACAGCCTAACCCAGGCCCCAGACTCTGAGGGTCCCCCAAGCCTCATTCTACACTAGAGCCATAGGGACGTGATTTTGAGTTTTGTGGTCTGACAGATGTCAGTGCAAGTTCCTTACCCTCTCTGAGCATCAATATTCCTGTGATAGTAACAAGAATAAGGTGAACAGAAAGACGGGCTCAGGAAATGTCCTGGGCCCCATCGGCCTCCCTTTCCCCTACTATCTGAGAATGCGTCCCGGGCCTGGTACCACTGTCTCTCTGGCACTCTATGCCTAGAGTCCTCCAGGACCTCCTCCTCTGAGTTCTCATTCCCGGGGTCTGCTTGGGAAAGCGTACCTTGCGCCCCCCTCTCTGATGGGCGCCCATCGCCTGTGCCTGCCCCTGGCCTTCCCCTTGGCCTCACTCTCCCACATGGCAGACACGCTGTTGGGCTGTAGTCTTGCCTGTCATGGTGGACTCTCCAGCACCCATATTGTGAAGTTTCTGTGGTGTTTTCCTCCAATCCTGTAAGCTCTGGAAACTTCCTGGGTTTTCCTCTCCCTGGCAGATATCAAAGGCACCCACCTCACTGCCTGCAGCCCTGCAGTCCGGGCCTTGAGCCTGGTTTTTATAGGGAGGAGCCATCTTCTCCAGGTACCACCAGCCCTGGTGGCCTCTGTGCTGCCCAGAAGGCCCTTCCTCCATCCTGACTGCCCGGTTCACCCACCTGGGGGCTCGCGTGTGCTGCAGGGTCCAGGCATGCTGTTCGATGTGAGCAGACCAAGGCTTCTGGATTGTGGACATTAGTAGATGGAGCCTAGGGGTGTATGTGGGAGTGTGTTGTGTGTGCATGTTTCTCTGTGTGTTTCCATGTGTTTCTGTACGCGTATTTATGTGTGTGTTCTTTGTTAGTGTGCATTATGTGTTTCTGTGTATGGGTGTGTATGCATGTATATGTGTCATTCTGTGTGTGTGTGTTTTTATGTGTGACTGTGTATGCATGTGTTTTTGTGTGAGTGTGAGAGTGTGCATGTGTGTGTTTCTCTATGGTTCTGTGTGTTAGTGTGTATGCATGTGTGTTCTGTATGTACATGATCTACATGCATGAATGAGCCCAGGCCCTCAGCAGGGGTGCTGTGTGGCAGGTCCTGTTCCTCATTTTGCCTGAGGTCAGGAGCTTCTCAGCCTGTGTCCTCCTCTGCCTCTCTGTGCCTGAGGACTCAGCAGGGTGGAGGGGACCCAGCCCTGGTGCTGATGCTGCTTTCTCCTTCCCAGCCCCGCAGTGTGAAGGTGGGGGGCCAGGGGTGGGACACAGAGCCAGCACTCAGGCTGAGCTGGCGCACCCCTGTGGCCCTTCACGTGGCACCAGCACCCACGTGTTCACCGCTGGCAGCAAAAGGAGAAGAAAGAATCCTAAGCCCAAGCCAGCCCTCCCTCCCTGGGCCGAGTAGGACGAAGGTCTGGCCTTTAAGCCTAGCACGAGGACATCTCAGTCCCACACAGCAACGTCTGGCCTTCTTCTCTGGCCCTTCTCGGGCTCTCAGCCCCCAGTCAGGGCATAGCCTTTGTCTTCTTTTCCCGTGGCCTCAGGACAAGGGCAGAGCCCCTTTGGACAGCCAGAGTACCGGCTTGGAAGGGAGACAGAGTTGCCTTGGGGGAGCTGGGCCCTAGTGGCGTCCAGTCTCGGGGCACTTTCTGTCCTCCGGCCTCCGCTGGGGGGTCACTGGCCCAGCTGGGGTCAGGTGACCCTGATCCACCATCACCTCTGCTCTGCCCCCTCTTCATCCCGCCCCACAGCCTCTTCCACCCACCCTGCTCCTGAGGACAGACACACACGAAGGAGCGCCCCCTGCAGGCTGTCGTGCCGGGTTCTAAGCAAAGAAAGGCCTTCTCCACTGCTTGATGTTTCAACCAGTAAGAACCCAAACTGCTAGCAGTTACCTCTCTGCGAACAAAACCAGGCTAGGGAAGACTCCTCTGGCATGCAGTCATGCCTCAATGGGTGCCCCCAGTGGGTCCCGGCCCATCCCTGCCTCTGGAGAAGAACGGGACAGTGTGAAAGAGGGAACACTGGATAATGAGCAAAAAGTGGGGAAGAAGTAAAAAAGCCCAAGGATGACCATCCTTCTGCCCTTGTAGGGAGATCCAGCCATGTTTTTCTTTTGGGGGGTGGGGGGTTTGAACAGGGTGACGGTCTCTTTGGGCAACTATCACAGAATGTCCCAGGCTGGGTGGTTGTAAACAACAGAAGTTTATTTCTCATGGTCTGGAGGCAAGAAGTCTGAGATTAGGGCGCCAGTCCAGCACAGCTGAATTCCTCACTGAATGCGGTCTGCTCACTATAACCTCACTTGGCCAGAGGGGTGAGGGCACTTTCTGGGGTCTCTTTTGAGTGAGTGGGTGTATGTGTGCAGGGTGCCAGGGCTATTGTTCCCCACACCTTCATTTACAACCTGGGCCGTCCATGCTCTCCATAGCCCTGCCATGACCCATTGTGATAAAAAGTTTCCCGGGTCTGAGTTCTTGAGCGCAAGCCCCCCAACAGGTACCCAATTAAAGAGCTGATTTTCTGCATTATCCCTAGCTTTAAACTCCTGTGTTCTTGTGAAAGTTGTCAGCTAACTGCTTAGAAATCTGAGGATCTCATCCATAAAATCCCTGAGAAGTTACCCCTGGTAGATTGAAGTGGTGGTCCTGATCGTTCACCAACCTATAATAGGATCCTATACCTGCCCTTAACCATGCCTCATGCTGTGCAGAGTGTTCTTCCTGGCCCCAGACTTTGGCCTTGGCCATATGACTGCGGCCAGTGGCATGAGGTTAGCCAAGGCTTTGTAACGTGCTTGACGGACTGGCTTTGCCCTCTTGCACTCTGGGGATCCAACATCAGACCCGCTTCCCCAGGTAGATGCTGGGCCCCAGAATGAGCACATGTAGCAGCACAGGCTTGGTCCTATCGTGGGAGAGCACAACTGCCCTGGGGCTACCCAGCTGAGCCCAGCCTGGCCAGCGATACTCAGAGGCCCACATTCGTAAGTGTGAAGATGGCCATACGCCCCTGAGAGTTTGTGCTGGTTGTGCAGCAAGCTGACTGACTAGTGTCCTTTACCACCCAGGCCTGAATGAGTTACAGCCCAATTCCTGGACATAAAGGACATCACTGGGACGATAATATCTTGAAGACTGTGCAAGGCAGATTGCTGTTGTCCTACCTAGGAAAGGAGTTTTGGTGTGTGTGTATGTGTGGTATGTTCATGTGATATTGTGTGTATGTGTGGTATATATGGTATATACATATACATATGGTATGTGTGTGTAGGGTATGTGAGGTGTGTGTAGGGTATAAGGAAGGTGTGTATGGTGTGAGTGCACGATGTCTGATTTGTGGTGTGCGTGTGTGTGTGTGTGTGTGTGTGTGTGTGATGGGGAGTCAGGGCTCAGGCAAATGGCCTACACACCAGTCCAAGGTGAGGAGCAGGCTTCCTGCCCAACATTGGTGGGCAGGGAATTCCTTGTGGACTTTCTTTTCTTTTTTTTTTTTATTCTTATGTTAATCCCCATACATTACATCATTAGTTTTAGATGAAGTGTTCCATGATTCATTGTTTGTGCATAACACCCAGTGCTCCATGCAGAACATGCCCTCCTCAATACCCACCACCAGGCTAACCCATCCTCCCACCCCCCTCCCCTCTAGAACCCTCAGTTTGTTTTTCAGAGTCCATCGTCTCTCATGGTTCGTCTACCCCTCCAATTTCCCCCACTTCATTCTTCCCCTCCCACTACCTTCTTCTTCTTTTTTTTTTTTTTCTTAACATATATTGCATTATTTGTTTCAGAGGTACAGATCTGAGATTCAACAGTCTTGCACAATTCCTTTGTGGACTTTCTAGATGAGATCTGCTCAGTGCTTGGTGCTACAACGTTATTAGCCATCTCGCAGTCCTGTAGCCTTCTGCTCAGGGAATGATTGACCCGCATCGACGGATTCAGATTCTGTCTTCTCTCCCCTGGTGGGTGGAAGGGGGGGCATTGTCCTGTCTCCATTCTGAAGTCACAGAAGCTACTGCTCCCCATGAGATCAGTGTTTCCAAGTATTATGAACTCTGGTCCTCCTGTAACTTAAGCCGAACATGTTCTAAAGATTCCAACTTGCCTTGAGTTCACACACGCCGGATAAGTGGTTTCCTTTCCGACAGCCATAAAGCACTGTGGCCGGGGGCCTGAGGGCTCAGTGCAGGCAGGTGTCCCAAAGCAATTCGTCACCGGCCAGGAAAAGCCATCACGGGAGCAGTGGGCCAAGGTGTGGTGGACAGGCCATGTCCCGTGCGTATTTGCTGCGAGAACTCAGAGAAGTAGGAGGCAAGGCCGAGTCACAAGATTCTCTCTCTGGTTTGACAGGTGGGTGGACCTCCCTAGGCTTCATGCGGGTTATTAACATCTGGCCTTTGGTCATCAATGCGGGCTCCCCTTCCAACCTCAGAGCCAACCTGGACACAGTGAGTGACCTGGGGGACTTTCTGGCCATCTCTGGACACACACCCCCCGCCGCCCATCTCCCCCTGCCCTTCTCCTGTGTCTTCCCTGGGCATTGCTTTGTGCAGAGACAATGCATACCTGGGAGTTGTCATCAGAAAATGTACCCTTGTGTAGGGGCCCCATAGGATTCACTCACTGCATGTGATGTCCAAGCTTCTATTTTGATATGTGGCTTCTAAAACTCAAAAAACAGGAGCAGATTTTAGCAGCCACTCCAGTTCCTCTAGGTATGATGAAATAATAAGACAACTGCCCCGTGACATCTGACACAGAACGTTCCAGTTTCCAGTTTACCCAGATAACAAGATAGTTTCATTTATAATGAGATAAATGGATAGCGATGCTCGGTGAGGCTTGGTGTCATTCTAGAGCTATTTCTATGTTAATGGCAATGAGAAGAGAAGTGTCTGTCACCACTGGAAAGGAGTGATGTAAAATATGCCAGTTGCCACGCAGCCATGGTGGAAGGCCCCATATCCATAAAGAGGGTGAGTAGGTGGTGTGTAACTTGCATGTTTCTTGGGGAAAAGGGTGTTTTTGCCTCTTCGTGCCCCTTCCCCTGGAGTCTTTCAAGCAATCGCTCCGGTCTCTCAACGGGCATTTGGCCATTTAGGGCCAGGGCTTCCTGGCAATGACCCAAGCAGGTCCTTGAGAGAGATGCACACTGCAGGTCATCAGCCTGGGCACCAGCAGGCCAAGGAGGAGACAGACCATGGTCTTAGGGGCCACGCAAGGGCCCTGACATTGAATACAGAGAAACTGACTCCAAGCTGAGCCAGGGAAGAAGCCATGGGATAGACTCAAGTAGATGGCAGGAAACTAGAGCCAAGCTGGCTTAAGCAGAAGGAGTTCAGGTGTGGCTTGATTAGAGCCTACAGGAAGCCAAGAGGGGGCTAGTTCTCATTTTTCCTTCTTGTACTCCATTCCCTTCCACCTTGGGTCTTGTCTCGGGCTCTCCGTCATGGTTAGGCTCCAGGATGAGTGTACTCATCCTGTCAGGCTCTGGGGAAACACAGTGTCCCTTTCTAAGCACCCACTAAAAGTGCCATTGCCGGACCTTTGACACTGATCGGGCCACGTGCTCACCCCTGACACAACCTGTGCCTAGCAAAATACTTGCTGTGCTCAACCACACCAGGGCCATGGACTCCCCCTGAACCACATGGTCCCCAAATGGTGGTTCTCCATGAGTCACTGTCAGAAGTCTGGCGACTCGTACTTGCCAGCAATGCTTGATGACAGGGAGGCAGGCTGGGTGAAGCAGGGTCAGGCCCAGAGCCTGCTGGAGTGTTTTAGGAAGGCGGATCAGTATGGATCCCACAGATGTGGGGTTCCCTTCCATACAGCTCTTAGGTTTGTCCTTTTTTATGCCTGCATTGCTACAGGCCTATTTATTTATTTATTTATTTATATTTTTCCCTCTTGAGTTACTCTTGTCTGAGAAAACTTTGAGGAATGCAAAGGATCCACTCCCCTTTGGATACACTGGTGGCTTCCACTCCCATAAGATGAGGCCCCAGCACCTTCGTGTGTCCGCATCTCCAGACTTCTTGGACCAATCTAGGTCCCCTAAACATCATGCTTTTCCCATGCTTGGGCTTTGCACCTGCGCCTACCTGAGGTGCCCAGCCATCCCCCTGACCCCTGCCAACTAGAAAACTCCTCTATATCCCTCAGGACCCAAATTGTGCCACTCTTTCTGTGATGCCTCCCTCAAGTTCTCCCAGGCAGTTACCTTGTCTATGCTCTGGCTCTCTGTGCTGTGCCCTTTATTTATCAGTTTTAATAGTTGTCTCCTTGTCTCCTGTCCCCAGGAGTCTGGAAACTTCTTAAGGACTGTGCTATAAAATATTCTTTTAAATGTTTTATTATGAAACATTTCAAACATTAGGAAACCGCAGAAAATAACAAATATGTATTCACAACCCAGATTTAATAGATAACAACAGCTTGCCACATTCGTTTTATCTTTCTGTTTGAAGAAATAAAAATTAGAAAATACAACTAAAACCCCAATCCCCCACTCGCTTTCCGTCTGCTCCCAGCCTCCTGAAACTGGATGGAGTCTCTATTCAACATCACACTCTTGAGAATTATCTGTATTGATTTGTGTAAATGTTTTGTTCCTTTGAGCAACAACGGAGTGCTTCTTTTTTAAATTTTATTTTTTAAAAAATTTTATTTTATTATTTTATGTTAGTCACCATACATTACATCATTAGTTTTTGATGTAGTGTTCCATGATTCATTGTTTGCGTATAACACCCAGTGCTCCATGCAATACGTGCCCTCCTTAATACTCATCACTGGGCTAACCCATCCCCCCACCTCCCTCCCCTCTGAAACCCTCAGTTTGTTTTCCGGAATCAATAGTCTCTCATGGTTCGTCTCTCCCTCCGATTTCCCCCCCTTCATTTTTCCCTTCCTACTGTCTTCTTTTTTTTTTTTTTTAGCATATAATATATTATTTGTTTCAGAGGTACAGGTCTGTGATTCATCATTCTTACACAAGTCACACCGCTCACCATAGCACATACCCTCCCCAATGTCCATCACCCAACCACCCCATCCCTCCCACCCCCACCACTCCAGCAACCCTCAATTTGTTTCCTGAGATTAAGAATTCCTCATATTAGTGAGATCATATGATACTTGTCTTTCTCTGATTGACTTATTTCGCTTAGCATAATACCCTCTAGTTCCATCCACATCATTGCAAATGGCAAGATTTCATTTTTTGATGGCTGCATAATATTCCATTGTGTATATATACCACACCTTCTTTATCCATTCATCTGTTGATGAACATCTGGGCTCTTTCCATAGTTTGGCTATTGTGGACATTGCTGCTATAAACATTGGGGTGCACGTACCCCTTTGGATCCCTACATTTGTATCTTTGGGGTAAATACCCAGTAGTGCAATTGCTGGGTCGTAGGATAGCTCTATTTTCAACTTTTTGAGGAACCCTCCATACTGTTTTCCAGAGTGACTGCACCAGCTTGCATTCCCACCAACAGTGTAGGAGGGTTCCCCTGTCTCCACATCCCTGCCAACATCTGTCATTTCCTGACTTGATAATTTTAGCCATTCTGACTGGTGTGAGGTGGCATCTCATTGAGGTTTTGATTTGGATTTCCCTGATGCTGAGCAATGTTGAGCACTTTTTCATGTGTCTGTTGGCCATTTGGATGTCTTCTTTGGAAAAATGTCTGTTCATGTCTTCTGCCCATTTCTTGATTGGATCATTTGTTCTTTGGGTGTTGAGTTGGATAAGTTCTTTATAGATTTTGGATACTAGCCCTTTATCTGATATGTCATTTGCAAATATCTTCTCCCATTCTGTCGGTTGTCTTTTGGTTTTGTTGACTGTTTCCTTTGCTGTGCAAAAGCTTTTTATCTTGATGAAGTCCCAAAAGTTCATTTTTGCCCTTGCTTCCCTTGCCTTTGGTGATGTTTCTAGGAAGAAGTTGCTGCGGCTGAGGTCGAAGAGGTTGCTGCCTGTGTTCTCCTCTAGGATTTTGATGGATTCCTATCTCACATTTAGGTCTTTCATCCATTTTGAGTCTATTTTTGTGTCTGGTGTAAGTTTCATTCTTCTGCCTATGGCTGTCCAATTTTCCCAACACCATTTAACAACGGAGTTCTTTTGATTTTAACAATAAACCTTACTTACCCTTTTTCCTCCCCATGAATGGATTTGTCTTTGGTATTTCAATATTACAAATTTGCTACAGTGAATGTTCTTGCATGTGTCTCCTGGGCTCACAGGCAGGAAGGCATCAGCAGATATACCGGTAGTGGTGGAATTGTTGGCCCATACGTAAGTGGGGTCTCTGCACCCTCAACTTTAATAATCATTGCCTGAGTTCTCGCCGGGGTGTTCTACCTGTTTACACAACCCCCCTAAATGATTTCATTTCCATGTAGCCCTCAAATCTCACCAACACTTACTGTTGTGAGACTTTTAAGTTTTCGTCACTCTGACTAGAAGGCAATGACGTTTTGTTTCATTTGCATTTCCTCATGACTGTTGAGGCTGAGCCTCTGTCTTATGTTTGTTGGTCATGGGAGTCTTCTCCTGTGAGTTGCTGGTTTTCCTAATGGCTTGTTTTTTGTTCTGGGAGTGTTTTGAAGCCGACTTCTTTGTCTGTTATACACAACCCTGTCTGACCCATCATTGCGTCCCTGCATCTCCCTCAGTGATGGACAGAGGGTCAGCCCTTGGTGAATGTCTGCCGGAAAGGGATATTAACCTTAAAAATAAAATAGGTATTTTACCGTAAAAAAAAAAATGCATTTGTTTGGGAATAGCAGGGAATTGCAGTTTAGGACATGCAACCTGTGGCAAAATCATAAACAAGTCCAAGGAACAAAGGAGAAGAATGTTATTTTATGAAGAAGGAGGAAACTGGGAGGAGTTGCTTTGAATGGAAGTCCATTGTAGAAAAGCAGGACTTCAGAATGATGATGGTTTCTCATTGCAAGGGTGGTCGATTTCTTGCAGGAGATGAAATGTACATCTTTACTTGTTGGGACCTGAAAGTGATGGTCCTTTCCAGTCTAGGATTCTTCTATTAGAATCTGTAATTGACAGTTTTTTTCCTGTAATTGACATTGACATTGGCTCCCCCTTCCAGCCTCTGGATTCCATTTCAGTGAGGTTTCCTCTTATTAATTTTCTTGGGGAGAATGAAGGAGGTGAGCCCGGGGGCCCAGAGAAGTTAGTAGCCTCACTGTGCATGTGGGATAACCTGCATGAGCACAGTGCCTGCTTAGGAGATGGGTCTGCCTGGAAGCCACATGCTAGGGACTGGAATCTGAGTGAATAGGAAGGAGATAATAGCCAGTGGGGACAGGAAGATGGAAGTGGAGGCCCTGAGAAGGGATTTGAGCCAAGGGTAAAAGGGTATGCTTTAAAGAAAGCCTCTGTTGAGGAGCAGGTTGGGAAGGAGAAGCCTGAGGGGTCAAGCAGGAACAGCTCCCATGAGAAATGAGGCCATAGCTCCAGGAGGCCAGGCCAAGAGATGGGGAGGCTGCGGAGTCTAGGGGCCCTTCACAGTTTTACCCTCCATGAAGAGTCTCTGGGTCTTGCTGACTTTGTCTGCAAGTTATTCCCTACCTTCTTTGGGAGACAGTAAGAAAGGTGCCTGGACAAGCCAGGATCTCAGTCCACTTCCTAAGGTGAACCCATCTGCCATGATCCTCAGGACTCAGACATTTTATTTCCAGCTACTCTTCTGGGTCATTAAACAGGCTCCTATGCGCTCTCCATTTGATCACACACACTCAAGGGAGGGCAGCTCCCGTATGCTCTTCAGGGACGGTGAGCTAGTAGCCCTCTCTTCCTGTAGTCACCATAGGAGAAGTGGGGAATGGAGTCGTGAGTCCTGATCATGTCCTTTATTAGCCAAGACCCACTTGCACTCACAGCCAGAATTCAACGCTTACCTATGTGTAGAATAATTCTTTAAATAAATATAACGTT